AGTCTGCACACTTTTGAGGTTGAAGCAGTTCCTAAAACTGTTAAGCCAACCTTGGCTGGCTTTGAATTCCTTCTCATCAGAAGGCTGTCCCTCTTCGGCAGGAGGTTTGAACAGCGCGTAGAGGCTAAGAGCCTTTTCTCGCAATGTGTTGCCATTGATAGGCACACGTTTACGGTTCATGTCTTCCAGCCATAAGTTTAATGCCTTTTCAGTTTTCACTAAAGTCTTATCACGCACCTGGTTCGTCACCTTAGCAGTTATTGGAGCACTTGATGCCACGGCTTGACAAATTTCTCTCTCTCGAATCTTGATGGCACGGATGCTATATTCATTGCTGCCATATTTACGTGCCACGTTGGAGACTGACATACCGTCTCTCAATAAGTCCAGCACAGCCAGTTTTTCCTCCAGCATTGGAACAGATCGCTGTTTCTTCGGTTGAGCACCAGATGAAGTAGTTGGCTTGCGTTTAGGGGCCATGTTGTACGAAAAATACGTATCTTTAAACATTAGAATCACACTCAGCACTGCAAGATGTTCACACTATGAGAGACACGCGGGAACTGAGACTGACTGAGGGAACAGCAGATTCACGTCTCCCATCTCATGCTCACTCCGGGGCATATGCTCATTGGGTGGAATCGCCCGCACTATTTACAGGTATCTTGTTGTTTTTCTTTTTTTTGCCGAGCGTGTATAGTTGAATTCACGTAAGTTAAATGCGCGTATGATGTGATTCACCTGTAACCGATAGTAAATGTTGACTTTTTAGTGGTGACCATTGTGCATGCGATAAAATAGAAACCTAGCTTAGTACTATGGAATGAATACAGTTCTTGTAGTTTAGCCTGGATAACTACTAATGCATCAAGTAAAGCAATGCTGTTGACCAGCCTTTGCAGACAGTTTTTTTAAATGGCCATAATACCATTTGGTAGTGCTCCAAGAAAGCTAAGCAGATAAACTTTTAACCACCAGCCATCCTACAGTTAGATGTATCCTTAGCAAAATGATAACCATCTGGCACTGGTCTGGTGCCAGTTCTGAGGAACACGATTATTTGTTCTTTACAAAGATAAATAATATCTGCATCTAACTGTGTGTGTGGGGGGCGGGAAGGAGGGGAGAGACAAACAGAATACAAAAAGCACTCTCAAAAATACACACACACTCCTGGGATAGGTCTGAAGCTCTGCCAAGATTTTAAGACAAATTATAAGGAAGAACAGTAAATGAGGTGACCAAAGGAAAAGTTATTCCAGCAGCTCTTGACTCAGAGCACTTTACACCATGTTAATTGAAGAATGCAATTTTTTTTAAACAGATAATCGTAAATAAACAAATACCTGATGCCTTAAATGGGGCAGCTTTGGAAAAGCTTCATAATACTGTTCAGGATAGGCCATCTTCCTGTTGCACACTCTGATCACATTACTCCTGTAAATTCCTTCAATGGCTTTTCCTTTCTTTCATCATTAAATTCAAGATCCTTGCCCAGGCTTTGCCCAGATCCATGCTAGCTCCCATTGCTTTCTACTCCCCATCTCTCTCCATTTGTCCCTCTGGTCTAACTTAGATAAAGTTTTGTTAATATCAATGATAACATTAAATCACTTTTCATCAAAAATAGCAAACATTTCCATGTAGAATTTTCCCCCATGTTCCACAAGGTGGAGCCCTGGAGTTTACCTACCTAGTTTCAGAGCTTTCACAGTTCTGGACATACGTGGTAGAGAAGAATAAAAATGTGTCTTTTCAATAGTTTTCACAGAACAAGTCTGGGTTCTCACTGCAATCTTTTCTTCTTCTTTTTAAACCCGTAGCTCTGCCAGAAAGTTAAGACCTATAAGCTATATGTCAGAGGAAGAGCTTGTAACTGCTGTGATTGGATATTCTGGGGAAGTTTATAATGTATGGGTTTTATGACACTCACAAGCTCTGCAGGTTATGCTGACAAAATGTCTAACTTCTATGAAGTCTCTGTTCATATCAGATATGCACAGGTGGTCCTCTGCAAACCACATTTGTGGCTTTGTAGAAGTTACCTTATTAATCTCATGGAACATCCCTGATGAAATACAGCTCTTGTTAAGGTTATAAGCAAAATCCATTCAGCCATTTTGAGATTAAATGAACATAAACCATCCTTTATTCAACTTTTACAACAAAGCAAGGACATTTCCAGTGTAAAAAATATGTTAAGATTCCAGAGTGATGTTAATAACTCCTTAACTAATTAGTTGATGTTTGGAATAGAGAAGGGGCACCATCCAGCATAAATGCTCAGTAGTATCACTATAGGAATGACAATGACTTCTTTGGTGAAGAGTCTGATCCTACAAAATGCTGAGCACCCCTATAGGCCTGGGGCACCTTCAGTTTCAGTCAGGACTGGTGCTAGCACATTGGGGTCCCTAAGCAGGAATATTTTGCCACCTCCCCCTCCCCCCCAATACTAAAACAGGCAAATTCTTATAATAAAAAGCGAATAAGGGGGGCCCTTGACCTGCTCGGGGCCCTAACCAATTGCTTAGTCTGCTTATGCCTAGCGCTGGCTCTGGTTCCAGTAGAAATTTTGGACACATGGGGATTTTTCAGAGGGCACTTCGCATCACTAAAGATTAGTCTGCAAAGTGGTTATAATTTCCTGTCTGTGAAGTTGTAGATTTTCAAAGGCACAAAGGGAAATTAGGTGCCTTGGAAAGTCAATGAGAATTGGGCACCTTCTGCCTTTGAGTAAATGATAAGGGGAAATTGGGCTTGTAGAGGGAGATTTTCAAAAATATTTTTCTTTCTGAAATTCTACAGTCATGGATTCTAGCTCGAGGAGAGTGAGTTTGTTTCTAAAATTTTGACTTTAATGGATACGTTGTTTTTGTGACATGGATCTTTAAAATGTGAGCAGTATTTCCATTTTTAAAAAAGTCTTAACTATTTTTTAAAGCTATATTTCAAAAACTGTTTGTTGTAGAATCTTCAGATTTAAATATAGATGAGATGAAGCTGAGTGTGTTAGAATGTTTTGGGTAAGCCTGGCTGCTAATTTTAGAAGTTATATGGTATGGGTAGGATTTTTCAAAAGTGGTCAGCATTGACCTAATTACTGTCACTGAAGTCAATGGCAAAACATTCATTGATTTCAATGGGAACAGAGTTGGGCAACGCTGAGCCCTTGTGCAAATCCCACGGTATAATTTATGGGAGACATTCTGCCTTCGATTATCAGCCTCCAGTTTCCAGTAATGTCAGCAGGAGCTGCACATGTATATTTAAGCAGAATCTGACTCTTAATTCCTTATGTATTGCACTGGGACCCAGTCAATGTTTTAATGTTGCGTAAAATATTCTTTTCCTGTGTAGACGCCTGTTTGTGATATCAGGCATGGTTGGCTTTGGTTTTTTTTAAATGTGTATTGATGCACTGTGGTCACGCCTTGCTACCCTAATGAAAGTTAAGATATGCTGTAGTTCAAACTTTTCTCCTGTCTGCTGGATCTCATACTTCTGTTATTGCCAGCAATTTCAGACTAGAAAATGGATGTGTGCATAAAGTTCATTCTGTTTGGAGAATGCATATTCCAGATCCAACTGCTCGTTTAGATGTAATGCACTGTGTCAAATCCCAGTGTGAGTCTGGCACTGCTCACTGCTTAGGATGTCTTTTAGAAGTCCTTTCTTGCCCCAAGCAATTAGATTAAAGTTGGAAACTATCACAGAAAAGCTTAATCTCAAATGATGCAAAACAATCAAAATAGGCTCCCTTGGAAATTCAGGAATGTTTTATGAAGTATTTTAAGAGACAACTTCAGACTTTTTAGGAGTATATGCAATTTCAGTTGCAGCACTCAGTAGTATCTCAAATACTGTGTTAGACATTTATTCTTTTTATGCTGACTAATCAGCAACAACTCCTGCAGCATCCTTTTGGTGTCTTGAATTCCCACAATAATGATGAAATAGGGATTGCTTCCAATAGCCACTGTCAGAATTTTTTTTTAAAAAACAGATGCTATTCCTCCCTCACCCCCTATTATCATTTTACTGCCTTGGTTTATTCTGCAATGCTCCATTCCTCAATCGTCAGAAGGATGTGACTTTTCTTTGTTACATACATAATAGTGTAGCTATTGTGAATATTTTCAGTACAAATACTGTAAATTCACCATATTTGATTATATACATATGAGCTAGATTCACCCTTGGTATCAGCAGGGCACAGGGCCTCTGGTGGCTAAAAATCTGTTAATCTGTCTGGAAGATCACAGCCCTGGGCAGCAGCTATGACTTCACCTCCAAAATCTGGTTGGCATGTCCAGAAGGCGTTGCCGTTGAATACCCTAAACAACCTCTACTGGTGGGATTCCATCCACAGATAAAACTGACCTCTCCCAGCTTAATCTTTCTAGAAAGGGCAGCAGTGGAAATACTGCTCAGCAGGGCTGCCCAGAGGGGGGGGCAAGTGGGGCAATTTGTCCTGGGCCCCGCAGGGGCCCCCACGAGAGTTTTTCGGGGGCCCTGGAGCGGGGTCCTTCACTCACTCCGGGGCCCCCGGAAAACTCTCGTGGCGCCCGGGCCGCTCCGGGTCTTTGGTGGCAGTTCGGCGGCGGGGGGTCCTTCCGCTCCGGACCTGCCACCGAAGTGCCCTGAAGACCCGCGGCGGGCGGTCCTTCCGCCCCGGGACCCACCGCCGAAGACCCCAGGCCCCCTGAATCCTCTGGGCGGCCCTGCTGCCCAGCCTTCTAGAACTCAGAGCACCTTGAAACTACAATATGTAGCAACCTGTGCCAGCCAGGCTGAATCTAACCAAGCATCTTCCTCTGTGGTTATAGGCAAGTAACTGGGAAACCTCACAGGTGACTGAAGACTGTCAATCACTATTGTTAAAGATATTGTGGTAAATTACTTGACTGGCACCGTGTAGCAGGCCTAATGAAACTAAAAGATCTTGTGTATTTATTTATTTATTTATTGTTGTATTATTTATTTATTTGCTTCAACAGGTTCACCAGGAGACGAGTCAGGGGGAAGAATAAGGAAGTTAAGTCTTGGACAATATGACAATGATGTTCCAGGGCAGCCACCATATACCAGGTGTGGCTGGATGAAATCTACTGCTGTAGACCAAGCTGTAAATCCAGGATCACTAATTGCTGTAGGGGAGACCAAAGAGGTAAATAAGAAAGAATTATTCAAGATGGGGTGACTGATAGGCCAGCGTAGAATCCCAAATTCAGGAGCACAGTCGGGTTACAAATTCCCACATTGATAAGCAGAAGTTGAGCATATTATAAGGTTTTGTGCATGATGTGCCATCCCTGACAGTCACTGGATGTAAGAAGAACAGAACAGTCATATTCATCAGAAAAAGGCTTTAACATAGACTGGCACATCGTGTGTGTGTGTTTGTGTGTGTGTGTGTGTATCAGTGTCCTGAGATCTCTCCATTGGAAAAGTGGATCAGATGATATGAAAGCTTGTATAATCTGATGAAAAATGGCCCACTGTACTGCAGAGACTTGATGAAGTTTACCACACACTCATTTTGCTGCTTTTTGCCTCTTCTAGATGGATGTGGCACGTTACCAGGAAGACGTAGATGAAGTAGACAGGGGAATCTTCTCACCAACCAAAAATGGGAATGAAGCTGTTCCACCAACCCCAGCTTTTCCAGTGTCACCAGAGACACCATATGGTGAGGAAACATCTTCATCATTTACTTTTAACAAATGTGTTACTTTTAGCATCTCAAATTTATAGAAAAGGGTTGTTTGCTTTTCTTTCTCTTCCAGTGAAATGTCCCCCACATTACCGCCAAATGAGTCCATCTGGCCAACAGATCAGTAGCCCACCTGAGATGTACAGAACTGGGCATGGTAAGAACCATACTTCCACTTTTCCTTTAGAAGACTCCCAAAGGCCCAATGCGCCTCATGTGGCCTTGTGCAGATCATCTGCAGAGAGAGGTAAAGTTCACCCTCGTTAAGTACCTCTGTGCGGTGCCAGAGCAAGCAATTGATAATGCACAAGCATCATTGTGCCTGCACAATAATAGAGAATCTACTAATCTACCGTCGGATGCATCCAACGAAGTGGGTATTCACCCACGAAAGCTCATGCTCCAATACTTCTGTTAGTCTATAAGGTGCCACAGGACTCTTTGCTGCAAAGGTTGGCTTTGCTCAAGTCAAATCGCATCCTAGCCAATTGAAGGATATTATTATGAGTTTGTTGTTGCAGTATAAAATAGATGTTAAATAAACAATCTTTCATATTGCATGGTTGTTTCCAATAGATGATTGCATAGGGAAAGGGTCAGTCTAGCGTGATCTTGTTATAAATGACCAGAGGAGAATCCCCTTGGTTGGCCATAAATCTTTGCTAATGTAAACCTGCTGTAAGCAGCTCCTGTAAGCGGTGCCCCCATCTTCCCTGGCATAGGAGTAATTTCAGGGGCACAGCAGGGAAGAGCTGTGCCAGGCCTCCACTGTCATAAGGTCTCTTATTTAAGGTTGTTTTGGGGCCTTACCTGTGCATTTCTGTACCTTTCTATATTTGGATTTCTTTTAAGTTCAGCCTAACATCTGAATTTTCCCAAGTTACAACACCTGTAATTTTTTGTTACCCTTAACTTACTGATGTGTACTCTCAACCTGAACTCCAACTTAATGTAGTGTTTTGTCTGAGACCAAACAGAACTTCCCATGTCATTACCATTATATTTTGTATGACTTCAGTCTTTCAGAGTGTTTTTTCTTACACATGCATAAGAATGTAAAGAGATTAGTTAAACTAACAAAAGATTTTTTGGGTTGTTGGGCCGATTTCCTACCAATGTACATAAAGGAGCAGAGCAGACACATGGTGCTGTGACTTTGACCTAACCTACACAAGTTAATTTCTGTATGTTTCATAGAGAAAAAGTGGTGTGATATAATCATGTAGAATCAGATGATACTCTTGGTTACATTTATGCACCCATTGCAGTCAGTTGTCCATGTAAACAAGATACAAACTGGAGAAAATGTAATAGCTTTTAGTGTAAACAAGCAGCATTGTTCTTCATCCGCTTACTGGGCCAGGAACCAGGGTTCTTCGAGATTAGTCTCCTGGAGCCTTCCTTACACGTAACCAACTGGACCCGAAGAAGAGCTCTGTGTAGCTCAAAAGCTTGTTTCTCTTGCCAACAGAAGCTGGTCCATCACCTTGTCTTTCTGCATCCTTTTACGGTTCCTTTGTATAAGTTGGGTGGACCACAAAAGTGTAAGAAGTTTGGTTTCATTCAGATAAGCATGGAAAAGATGTGGCTGTTTATCTGATGCTTATAGAGAACCATCCGGTTTGGAAGTCAGGGTAGAAATAATATTCCTTGTAAGATTTCCAGCATCTCCTGAAGCTTTGGCTAAGTTGGGAATAATGCAAGCATAACCTGTGTGTTTTGGTGTTTCTGTTTTTGGGTCATGTAAGGAACATGGGGTTCAGAGAATCTGGCAAAAACTAAAAATCAAACAGATGCTTCTTCTTGAAAGCTCAAAATATGTTGAGTCTGTTTAGGTTTAAGTATGTTCCTTCAAGAAAAGAAATAAGGATTAAGCGGTGATCTTCAGAGGTGGTTATCACAAACATCACCCACTAGCCCCAGGTACTCAACACCTGCGAAAATCAAGCTGAAAATACATTGAATTCTGCATCCTTATTACATTGCTTGTTACTCAGGATGATCAAAATGGGTTCATAGAAAATAAGGCCTGGTCAAAACCTTTATCCTACTTCAGTCTAAACCTTTTATTGAGATTTGAAACATTTTGGTTGATTTATTTTTTTACATTTCCTGATGGCCGCGGGGTCCGGAAATGGAAGTACTGCAGTATTAAGAGGAACCAATAAAAATCTCATGAGATAATCTGTCATCATGAGATTTCCAGCCTAATTTTACATACAACTGTTTGTAGGTCAGGTGGTTTGGATGATGGCATATGATTGCATAAACTTGGTTTTGCTTCTCTTTATCAAACCTCTAGTGTTCTCTGAACAGTGGGAGTTACACCAACAAGACAGCATATTTGACTAAGTGTGTTTCTTCATACAATGCATCCACCATTATCAGAAGTTCAGTTATCCGGAACCCCACACTTATGTTCCCAATCTGGTGTCAGATAACAGGGCTTTCATAAATGGACGTGGCTTGTCCAGTGCTGTTTCATCAAGATAGGGAGCCCAGAGAGTAGAGAGATTTGGTGACTGAAACCTTTATGCACTTGAGACCATTAGCCAACTTAGTCCCCCACATACACACAAAATTTAATGCACAGCAGCTTTTAAATTGAAGCGCTTAGGTCAGCTCAGATCTCCACCACCTCAATTCCTTCTCTGGTCCTCAGTCTTCCTATTCGTAAGTAAGGTGGCATTGGGTAAACTGGACAGTTTCCTGCATGATAGGGCTTGTTGGCTGTGCACTCATAAATCTGCAGATTTGGCACCTTCCATTATTCAAATCTTTGATTACCCAAAGGTTTCCCCTTGGACCTTTTGATTTGCACTTTATTCACAGTGCAGATCTTCGCTGCTCTGAGGCTTATTGTGCGCTGTCTTTTGCTGTTTGGTAAAAGTGAAAAAATAAGTTAGCTGGACCCACTTTTTTTCGCAGCTGTAAATGTCATATTTTCCCCAGTGCAAATGGATTTTAATGAACACAAGGAAAGATTAAAAACTGCTGTGAAAAAAACAAAATGTGAAAATGCTGTGTATGGAAAGGTGCCAAAATGACTGACTACTGAAGGTCCTTTCCCCCCACATTCTGCCCCCAGTTGTGTTTATTGGAATGTATCCGAAGGAGTTTAACCACACCCCTATAGCTGAAAATACATTTCAAAGGTACACATCCACATCCAGGTATGAAAATTAGGGTAAAAGTAGATTCTAGGGCTAAAACATTGTCTTCTCTATGACATTAAACTTTATAGACACTGTATTTGCAGTTGTGCATAAAAATGATAGAATTTGCACACACACACGCCTGTTAGCATGCACAAATCAGGCACAGATTAAAATGTGATTTGCATAGGTAAATAGTCAGTTGTGTGCATAAGTGATAATACATAAATATCATGCACACAATGATTTGGGTACACACACACAGACAAGATCGAGGCCCCTTTGCACTGTGGGTCAAATTCGGCTCTAAGTTTCATGCATGAATTTCCCTATATAACCAAAGTGTTGTGTACCCTTTTCTGAGAATAAAATTTGGCCCTTTATATCTTAATGATCTCTTTTGCCATTGACTATAAAAGTCCAATGTTAGTTCCAACTATATAAAGTGGGTGCCGGTTAATAGTAATCCCAGTATCAACAATTTTGGTTGATAGCTACCTTTTGCCGGGAAACGATCCCGTCCCATTGAGTTCAGTGTTAACAGGATTCAGATACTGGCAAAAGGCAAGCTGCTTATTAACAATTTTTTTTAGAAGGCCTTAGCCCCATGCAAGTTTGCAGGTCTGCAGCCAGAGAAGGAAGTGCTGGGGTTGCACTGTACTTCTCCCTGCAGTCTCCAAGAGCTCCCTGCCCTGGCACTGGGAGGCGGGCTCAGCATGTGCTAGCACTTCCTTCTCTGGCTGCTACCCTGCAAACCTGCCTTCCACTTATTGGTAACTTCCAGATAATGAATGCACAGGAACCGAGAGGTTGCTAATAAGTGGAATCCACTGTGTTTACATAGATTTTTATTATGAAGGCTATGAGACTTATGAGACTTTTCCTCATGTTGAAATGTCTTCTTTTTGTCTTGTGTTGAATGGGTGTATCATTGACCTGACATCTCATTGAGAGGAGACATGATAGAAAACAAGCAAAGGAATTATACAGTAAGAAATTAGGTCCCAAAGTGCTAATCCGTTGTTTTTGAGAGACAAGGCAGTGAGGTAAATTGGACCAACTTCCATTGTTGGACATTCTGTCAACAATTTACTCTTAGATGTTAATTAGACTTCAGTTTTGTCATGCATCATCTGCTTTAAGGCCTATTAAGGTCAAGAGCATAGGATTTAAAGAAGGAATAGTTAAATGTATAGACCAGGGGTCGGCAACCTCTAGCACGCGGCTCACCAGGATAAGCGGGCCGGACCAGTTTGTTTACCTGCCGCGTCCGCAGGTTCGGCCGATCGCGGCTCCCACTGGCCACGGTTCGCTGCTCCGTGCCAATGGGGGTGGCAGGAAGCCGCGGCCAGCACATCCCTCGGCCCGCACTGCTTCCCGCAGCCCCCATTGGCCCAGAGCGGCAAACCGTGGCCAGTGGGAGCCGCGATTGGCCGAACCTGCAGAGGTGGCAGGTAAACAAACTGGTCCGGCCCACCAGGGTGCTTACCCTGGCGAGCCGCGTGCCAGAGGTTGCTGACCCCTGGTATAGACACTGAGAACATCCATAGTTGCATTAGGTAGGCAATGGGGGGGAAATTAGGGATATAACGCCTCATGTTTTAGGGCCTAAGCCCTCTGAAGCTTCTGGTATTAGTCACTGTCAGAAACAGAATAACAGATTACATGAACCACTGCTCTAATCCAGTACGGTAGTTCCTATATTCCTGTGTAACAACAGCTGAAACTATTTGAGCAGTAGTATTGTGTCCTTTACTTTTTGTAAGGTATTCGGGACTTTCTGAGTTACCTAGTTAATATTTAAGTAGTAGCAAACAATAACAACAACACACGCTATAATAATATCTACAGTAATAAAGCAATTCTGCTACAGGGTGCAAGATTCCTGTTTATGATTCAGATGCAGTGGCTTTGCCCTTTACTCAGTTAACTCTTAAATAGTTTCAGAGGAATCCAATCCAAGGTAAATATACTCTCGAGGTCAGCTTCTGCAAATGAATTA